CCAAAAAACCCAGAGAGGTTTGAAGACTACACCACAGTGGTGGGATCTGAGGGCTTTAACTCGGGGACTCACATCTGGGACGTGGAGGTTACTTACACAAATGCAAACTGGGCAGTTGGTGTGATAGCAGAGTCTGTACCAAGGAAGGGAGAAACTCACACTGGATACTGGGAGATATGGTTCTGCGACGGTAAATACAGAGCATACTTTCCATCTGTTACAAATAAAGTTCTTTCTGTAAAGAAGCCGCTGCAGAGGATCAGAGTGTTTCTGGACTGCAACGGAAGAAAAGTGACATTCTCTGATCCGGATACCAAAACAAACCTGTACACCTTCTCAAACACTTTCACTGAGAAGCTGTTTCCCTTCATTAACACACAAACTGTCGGCTCTTGTGCGTGTGGTCCTCGATTTGTCCAAACTTCACTTGTCTTCTTCCTTCTAATAAACCAGTTGACTACTACTACTACTACTACTACTACTACTTCTTCTTCCTGCGTACTGAACGTAGTGATGAAACCAAGAGAGAAGCTTCCGGTCTGAGATGCGAAGCCGACGCGGAACTCCATTAAACCTGCACTCTATTGAACGGCCAGCAGGGGGCGACTCTTCTGGTTGCAAAAAGAAGTCCGGCTCCATTAGAAATAATGGTACAATTACCCTACTTCTCAGCTGATTTATTACCTCAGTAAACACTTTCACTTTTGAGTTTATGGTCTCAGTCGCTGGTTTCTTTAATAAAACATGATGTTCATTTAGTAAATTTAGATTTAGAGGAAAATAGATTATAAGCAGAGTGTGCTTCAGGGCGGGATTACTGTGATTTACAAGTCGTTACCATGGCGACCTGTCAATCAGGCAAGAGTGACTCAGCACGGCACTGTGTAAATTTAACCAGCGCTGTTGAAAAAGCTGATTAGGGGTTGGCTGTTCACTTTCTCTGGTGAGTACATTTAGTTTTAAGACTAGCCAAAGTTATCAGCCCAGTTAAAGTGACAGTTAATGTGAATTACATATGTACCTAACTAAGCAAGCCAGGTAGCTCCACACATGGCCGTTAGCTCCACCGTCTCATCCAAATATGGTCACTTCTGGGCACTTCCTGGCAGTCCACAACGGGTGACGTCAAGACGACTACGTCCACTTCTTACATACAGTCTATGGATAAAAAACCCATTCTGTAGAGCCGTTTGTGCTACTGTAGAAACACGGTGGAGCAACATGGCAATGTCCATGTAAGAGGACACGCAGTGTTTGTAGATAGAAATGTCTCATTCTAAGGTAATAAAAACATAACGGTTCATTATTTATGTTCTTTATACACCACTGAAAACATAGTTACTGTATGTATATTATATTGCACTTCTGTCCATAGATCCTCCTAAATATTACACACTGGACGGCAGGGCACAGCACCAAGAGGATTTTTAATAAGTCTGGACCATTGTACTTTAAATACAGTCTATGGTCTCGAAATGTTATAGGCCTATGTGTCTGATTTTGTACATCTAGGTGAAAAGTACCACAAGGGTATGAAGATTCTCAGCCCTCCGGGTCATAGTTATCCAGGTGATTTAAAATCAGTTGCACTTGATTTTATCCCACCTGGAAACCTTGTTGAAATTTCATATGGGGCTATCGTGCTCCTTTGCCACAGCCAAACCCAAAACCCGTATCAGATACCAAATATCTCCGCTACTGATTTATGTGACAAGTTTTGTGAGTTTTCAAACATCCCTCCTCAAAAATGCAATTGAATCAGAAACCACTTGGTGCTTGGACCCTAAATGTGACTATGAATGTGACTATGAAACTATGCTGTATTTTCGGTGGCATTTGTGTTCAAGCTATAGTTGCCATTTCGTCTTTTCTTTGTTTATTCAGTGGTGTAAGGTACTGTACAATTACATAAGTACTATATGCTAAGTACAAATTCAAAGTACTTGTACTTTACTTGAGTATTTCCCTTTTACGCTACTTTATACTTCTACTCTATTACATCTCATAGGCAAATATTGTACTTTTTACTACACAACATTTGTCAGCTTTAATTACTATTTACTTTTTAAATTACTATATTTCATACGTTTCCTGTCCAGTGAAAGCAATGAAGGCTTTCACCAAATTTTCTGATGAAGTGAAGGATGAAGTTTTCCTTCCAGCGTTGAGAATATGATCCTACTTATTAATCTAAATAAAATAATAAAACTGACAATAGATCAGCTGAAAACAGGGCTGTTTCTCTGAGCTCATTAAAAGTTTACTTTTTATAGATATGTGGTTCTCACAGGACAGCGACGCTACAAGCATATGATTATCTTTAGACCATGATGCATTACTGTAGATCTATCAATCTATCTAAAAACATCATTATAGTGAAACACTGACATTTACTGCACTATGAGAAGGCCTGCTTTTACATTTGGTACCTACTTTTAAGTATAGTGATGATAATAGGTTTCTTACATACTTTTACTTCATTAAGAGTGCAGGACTTTTACTTGTAGTGGAGTAGCCTACCTTTCAGTGTTACGTTACTACTTTTACTTAAGTAAAGGATCTTACTTTACTCTACTAATACTTCTTCCACCACTGGTTTAATTGTCATTCACATCGCCTAAGCAACCCTTATTTGAATGTGCTTTAATTACATGTATTGCCCTAGAATTTGATTATTATTTTGGTATGAGTTCATAATAATAAAATATGAATTATTCATTATCTTATCGTGACGTTTATTAAAAGTACCGCATTAAAAATCTAATATAATCTTAAACTATTTTTTAAGTTATTGTGAACAACAGTTATTGTTTAGGTCATCTTATAGATCCTTCTGTGTCACCATATCTTTACTGCGTCATACACTCACCTAAAGGATTATTAGGAACACCATACTAATACTGTGTTTGACCCCCTTTCGCCTTCAGAACTGCCTTAATTCTACGTGGCATTGATTCAACAAGGTGCTGAAAGCATTCTTTAGAAATGTTGGCCCATATTGACAGGATAGCATCTTGCAGTTGATGGAGATTTGTGGGATGCACATCCAGGGCACGAAGCTCCCGTTCCACCACATCCCAAAGATGCTCTATTGGGTTGAGATCTGGTGACTGTGGGGGCCATTTTAGTACAGTGAACTCATTGTCATGTTCAAGAAACCAATTTGAAATGATTCGAGCTTTGTGACATGGTGCATTATCCTGCTGGAAGTAGCCATCAGAGGATGGGTACATGGTGGCCATAAAGGGATGGACATGGTCAGAAACAATGCTCAGGTAGGCCGTGGCATTTAAACGATGCCCAATTGGCACTAAGGGGCCTAAAGTGTGCCAAGAAAACATCCCCCACACCATTACACCACCACCAGCAGCCTGCATAGTGGTAACAAGGCATGATGGATCCATGTTCTCATTCTGTTTACGCCAAATTCTGACTCTACCATCTGAATGTCTCAACAGAAATCAAGACTCATCAGACCAATCAACATTTTTCCAGTCTTCAACTGTCCAATTTTGGTGAGCTCTTGCAAATTGTAGCCTCTTTTTCCTACTTGTAGTGGAGATGAGTGGTACCCGGTGGGGTCTTCTGCTGTTGTAGCCCATCCGCCTCAAGGTTGTGCGTGTTGTGGCTTCACAAATGCTTTGCTGCATACCTCGGTTGTAACTGGTTATTTCAGTCAAAGTTGCTCTTCTATCAGCTTGAATCAGTCAGCCCATTCTCCTCTGACCTCTAGCATCAACGAGGCATTTTCGCCCACAGGACTGCCGCATACTGGATGTTGTTCCCTTTCCATTCTTTGTAAACCCTAGAAATGGTTGTGTGTGAAAATCCCAGTAACTGAGCAGATTGTGAAATACTCAGACCGGCCCGTCTGGCACCAACAACCATGCCACGCTCAAAATTGCTTAAATCACCTTTCTTTCCCATTCTGACATTCAGTTTGGAGTTCGGAGATTGTCTTGACCAGGACCACACCCCTAAATGCATTGAAGCAACTGCCATGTGATTGGTTGATTAGATAATTGCATTAATGAGAAATTGAACAGGTGTTCCTAATCCTTTAGGTGAGTGTGTATTTATTGTTTTGAGACTCTTGCACATACTGGAAAGGTAGCAGATTTGTTTCTGCAATGAACAAATAGAGAAAACAAAACAAAAACTGTCTCATTTTCTAAATTTAAGCTGAGTGTAGACCGATGATGATCTGTCTGTAATCATCAGCCGGCTCATTGCAATTACTCCATATCTGTATAAGAATCTGTGTCTTTCCAGATCTTTTGCTAAGATCTTCCTACAAATGAGTTACATTAGTTCCAAACCCGTAACAGAAGTAATCCAGGTGATATGTAGGATGTCTGTCTGTCCCAAGTTAAAACGATAGATATTACAACATAGTCTGACACAAGTTTTGTATTGGCTGGTGTGTGTCCGACAATACTTGTAGAAAGATAAATACAATTTTAATTAATTCCTGAAACAAATCACCGAGGGTTTCTGCATTTTTCATTCGCATACATGAATATATTTCCCCATAACTGTGATAATGTGTTGACCATCTCAGATATTTCCTTGGACAGGTTTTCGTTGTATAATAAAATATGGTGTGCTTCAAAGTTATTCATGTTTTCTATGCTGACACTGAGCCAGTCCTTTCACGTTTTGCCAGAACCGTATTGTAAACTGACATGAAAGAAAAGAGAAATAAGCTAAATTGTTATAAAAAACCATGACAGCGGCGCGCGGAAACGAGGCGGGTGACGTCATCAACGCGCGCCAAACAAAGCTCCATGTGCACGAGCTGAAAACAACGACGCGGAGAAAGTTTGTTCTCAGTCTTGTTTGTGATGGAAAACTATGAAACATAAAGGGTGAGGTGGCGTTGAACGTAAAACCGCTTTGTTTGATTTATGGCTAAAACGTCGAATATCCCGCGTGGAAAACAAATTAATAAGAGACGAAGGAGAAAAAAAAGAGACGAAGAAGAAAAGAAGAAGAAGAAACCGGCGTTTAAAATTTAAAGTCCAGAAGAGCTGCAGGAGAAAGACTGTGTTTTAAAGGTAAGTCTGGTTTGTTAACCAACTTTTAACGCTGGATTAAACATATATGTATAAGTGTGTTGTTGGTATTTTAGAAACTGTTTACGGTTAGCTGCGAAATACGCAGATATCTGATCAATAACGCTGATATACTGTAGAAATACCGCAGATATCTGATCAATAACGGATATACTGTAGAAATACCGCAGATATCTGATCAATAACTCTGATATACTGTAGAAATACCGCAGATATCTGATCATAACTCTGATATACTGTAGAAATACCGCAGATATCTGATCAATAACTCTGATATACTGTAGAAAAACTGCAGATATCTGATCAATAACGCTGATATACTGTAGAAATACAGCAGATATCTGATCAATAACTCTGATATACTGTAGAAATACCGCAGATATCTGATCAATAACTCTGATATACTGTAGAAAAACTGCAGATATCTGATCAATAACGCTGATATACTGTAGAAATACCGCAGATATCTGATCAATAACTCTGATATACTGTAGAAATACCGCAGATATCTGATCAATAACTCTGATATACTGTAGAAATACCGCAGATATCTGATCAATAACTCTATACTGTAGAAATACCGATACTGTAGAAATACCGCAGATATCTGATCAATAACGCTGATATACTGTAGAAATACCGCAGATATCTGATCAATAACGCTGATATACTGTAGAAATACCGCAGATATCTGATCAATAACTCTGATATACTGTAGAAATACCGCAGATATCTGATCAATAACTCTGATATACTGTAGAAATACCGCAGATATCTGATCAATAACTCTGATATACTGTAGAAAAACCGCAGATATCTGATCAATAACTCTGATATACTGTAGAAATACCGCAGATATCTGATCAATAACTCTGATATACTGTAGAAATACGCAGATATCTGATCAATAACTCTGATATACTGTAGAAATACCGCAGATATCTGATCAATAACGCTGATATACTGTAGAAATACCGCAGATATCTGATCAATAACTCTGATATACTGTAGAAATACCGCAGATATCTGATCTGTTATCATATCTGATCAATAACTAGGGCGATTGGGAGAAAAAATCTAATGGCGATTTTTCTGCCAGATATTGTGATTACGATTTGATTTGAGATTTTTTTTTTTAGTTTAACTGAAGTTCAATATTCACAGACAAGGAGTGATGAACTACGAGCTAAGCAGTGGAAACCGGTGCGTTTCTCTGCTACCACCTCCTGAGGGAAATATCTGGCTCTCTGATAAATTCTCCACCACGTTCACCAGCTCGCCTCTAACTCTGTCTGCTGTTTGCTGCCGGCAGTGAATGTGCTGCAAAACCAAAACAATGAGCTGAAGGAGGCTAAAAGCTTGACAGAGCTGCAGTGTTTTGGTTATTCTCAATGTGTGAAGCGTTTCAACAGAGTGTTTTATAATGTTTTGTAGGAATACTGATTAGTGAGGCTTTAAAATGTGAGGTGCATAGAATATCTACTCTGGTTATTTCCATACAATATCTACTCTAGTTATTTCCATACAATATCTACTCTAGTTATTTCCATACAATATCTACTCTAGTTATTTCCACACATATACTACTCTAGTTATTTCCATCAGTTACTATATTTACCATAGAATAACTACTCTAGTTATTTCCATACAATATCTACTCTAGTTATTTCCATACAATATCTACTCTAGTTATTTCCATACAATATCTACTCTAGTTATTTCCATACAATATCTACTCTAGTTATTTCCATAGAATAACTACTCTAGTTATTTCCATCAGTTACTACTCTAGTTATTTCCATAGAATAACTACTCTAGTTATTTCCATAGTATAACTACTCTAGTTATTTCCATAGAATAACTACTCTAGTTATTTCCATAGTATAACTACTCTAGTTATTTCCATAGAATAACTACCATAGAGCAGATTCGTTTATGTTTTGGCTACAGATGTCTTTAGCCTGGAGCCAGTATAATTAATATCCCAGTAGTTTAGTTGTTAGTTTTCTTATTATTATTCTCATTAATGTGTTGATATCGATCGCTTTTCTCTTCTCAGGATGCTTCTTTGCTCTTCTGCAGTGTGAAGTACAAAAAAGGAAACAGGAGTAAGGAGAAGATGGATCAACAAAGGAGAGAGGAAGAGGAAGAGAGGTTGGATGGACTGGAGGAGAGAGAAGGAGGAGAGAAGGACGGAACACTAAGAACTCCATCCAGGAGGAGAGAAGAAGAAGAGGAGGAGGAGGAGGAGGAGGAGGAGGAGGAAGAGGAGATAGGGATGAGAAAGGCAGGCGCCAAAGACAAACCACGAAGGGAGCTGATTGGTCGACACACTCCGATCTCCGCCTCCTCCTCCTTCACCTCCTCCCCTCCTCCTCCTCTCTCTGCCGAGGAAGAGGAGGAGAGGAGGATGGCGAGGAAGACGAGGTCAGAGTCGCCATAGTCACAATCGAGGACGAGTCCTGTCCGTCTGAGCCTTTCGGGACCGCCCACCTGGAAACGGCCTATCGGATCACACGCATAGTTGACGGAGGAGACAAAAAGGAGGAGAAGGAAGGAGAGATCGAAGGAATGGAGGAGGATGAAGGGGAGGAGGCGAACAGTGACGACAGAGAGGAGGATGCAGAGGTGACGGCACCGTCGCTTCACCTGCAGAGCCAGGTAAGACAGTTGACTCCCATCCTTGCCACTGTCTAATTTGTTCCACCATAGTTTCAAAGCAAACCGAAAATATTTTTACACTTCTGTGTTTTGCACCGCTGCTCCCGCTTCTGTAAGCTCGAACAATATCACACTTTGGCATCTGACTCTAGACAACCACTTTTCTGTTGCGGTAACTACGGTAACTTAAGGGTTTGAACAGCGTACAGTGGATCCACTGTCACTCGTTTGTGGTTGAGAACACGAGAAAGGTAGCAACACCTTAATTTGGAGTGCACATGTATTCTATCCTTTATGGTAACTGCAGCTGACAGGCAGGTTTAGCGACTTATTTTGTAATTATCTCACTATACAAGTGTTACTATATGAAAGTCTTCCCCGAAGAGAGGCTATGAAGTCTTCATTGTACGCAAGATGGGCAACACCTACAATATAATATTTCAAACTGCGTCGGACTTGGTGAACCTTTTGGACATTAATTGGACTATTAATACAGGAACTGTAAAACATGTCACGCGTCCATTAAAAGTTAAAAACAGAAAACACTTAAATTTTAGGGAAATTACTTGCGTCTTTGATTTAAAGGTTGCTGGAAAAACAGTAACTAAATTTGTTGACTTTTTTGCTGTTTCTTCACCATTTATATCTGTACAATGTTTTATGATCAAATACAAGAACGCAAAGTTCTTCATAGATCTAGCCTCCAAATTTTGCTCTTGAAGTGCACCAAATTAATTAATTTAACCTTAAAATGTACAAAATTTCTTTTCTTGATGGGGCGCGAGTTTGGCATTTTGGGTGTCTCCGTCATGTTTTCGGAGACACCCACGCCCTAAAGCATACTTGGTTTCATTGTCTATTTTCCTCTAAAGGGGACCGTTATTTTCTAAATGAACATCTTGCTGTGTTGAAGGAGACTTGAAACTAGTGACCGAGACCATAAACGTGTGAGGAAGGTGTTTACTGAGGTAATAAATCAGGATAGAAGAATAGTAATTTTCTTATTGACTTCTACGCAATCTGACTTCTTTTTGCAGCCACTGGAGTCGCCCCCTGCTGGCTGTTACAAAGAATGCGGGTTTAAGACACTTAAGCATTGGCTTCACTTTTCAGACCCTGAGGTTCCCGCTTGTGTCAAACACGCGTACTAACATATAAGTTTATAAGTATTGCTCTGTGCCGGAAGTTAAGTGTGAACAGGTGGAATGATAACAAGCACCTGCTTTGAGACACACCTGTCCTTTTAAGTCATTTTAAAAGGACAGGTGTGTCTCAAAGCAGCTGCTTCTCCATCATTGAAAAACCCAGAATATATACATATGCAAATATAAATATATATTTTTTAAGCAGCAACATGCAGCCCGCGGGCCAGAACGGACCCACCAGCAATAATATCTGGCCCGCGGCCAGATTGCTTTGATAGCAGAAAAATAAATAAATTTATAGTGGCTGGTATTGAAATAGATCTCAGTCATGACAGCAACAGTTACTCACACAATCACATACTAAGTGATTGTGCCTCTAAAATAAAAGCACGAACGTTCTTTGCAGCAATGCTTCATGTCGAGTTTATTAAGAGCTTTTACTTTGAAGAGTTCTGAAGGACATTCAAAAGAGTCTCTGGCCTGCTTGACACACCTCGATCGGATTCCCTTAATTTTCTCAGGGAAATGAAAATAAGTGTCCATAGGTTTATGAATGCGGATCAAACGCCGGAACGCGCACACACTGCAGCACATGCTTTATAGTGAGTATGTGCAAAAGTTTCCTTTTATTCAATTTGTTTAACAAGGGAGAAAAAAATATCTGCTTTAAGATGGAAACGTCCCTTCAATCTACTTAACGGGATCCCAGCACAGTACCAGCTGAGCTAAACCTGCACAAGACCTGAAATCATTTGACTTTATCAACGGCCCACCATATAACGGCTTGAAAAAAATTTGGCACGATGCCAGACTTATTTGCCGACCCCTGGTGTAGAGCCTAATCTCAGTGTTTTTGCACTGGAGGTTTCAGGTTTCCACATCACAGTGTGTAAGCCCCTGTGGTCCCAGCTCAACTCACTTCTACTTGCCTGACTTTGATGCTCCTTCCTCGTTTTCCACTGCAGATATAAAACCACCTCAGTGTAGCTGTGACGCTGCACGAAACTGCTGTGACGTAATCTCGTGTGAGGATAATGAAGACATACACGATTCAAGTTCATAAGAAATTTAGGTATCAGATTGGACCAATGATTGGCTTCCACCGTACGTCCAGGTGTTACAGGTTTAAGGTGAACAGTGACGCTCAAACTGAAGGAACAAAACTTAATTTGAAGGAGACTTTAAAGATCTTAGTTCACCCTGACAGGGTGAATGATAGTTGAACTGTCTGAATGCAGCACGAAGGCGGCGGCGTTGCACACTTTATCTCCTCGCTGTGAACGAACACACACACAACACCTGGCTCAGTGATTCATCGTGTGAGCTGTGTCTTTGTGACATTCAGGTACCAGCCGACGACATCAGCGTCTGCCTGTCTGTGTGTGTAAGGGGCGTTCAGGTGCCATTGTGTCTCCTGTTTTGTTGTCTTTATAAACAAGCTGAACACCAGCTGCTGCGTGTCGGAGGCCGAGTGTGAGAAAGTGTGTTTGTGCGTATGTTTCCTCCTTTCACTCTTAACAACTAAATTAAAGTTACATTACTTATTATACCCAGTAAATCAAAATTGTTTAACGGTATTTTGTTTTAGTCTTTTAAATTTTAATGAAAACATTAAAATTAAGTTGAAATTAAAATGCTTTATTTCACACTAGTTAATTAAACAGTCGCTTAAGAAAGTTATTAAAAAGTTTAAAAAATACTTGGTTTTCCTTGTTTTGTAGTTTTTAGAAACTATTTGAGACAAAAAAATTACTGCAAACTGAGTTTCTTTATATTAAAAACACATTTAATCTGTTTTTATTCTACATTAATATTCTCCTAAATAGACTAGAACTGAGTAAAAGATACTTTAATTACAATGAAGCTGCAAATACAACATTATCCACCAGAAAGTATCAGGCAGGAAGAAGTACTCAGATTTTTCATGTAGTAAAAGTAGTAATATTACCGAATACTACAGAGTAAAAACACTCACTTAAAAGCATTAGCAGCAAAGTGCGCACACATTGTTCTTTCAAAGTGTTGCATCGTTATATATTAGTTTAATACCATCTAGGTTGTCACACATGATCACATGTTTTGACATTAAAAATGTTCACTGAAAAGTAACTAAAGGTATCAAATAAATGTAGTGAAGTAAGAAGTACCACTCAACACTTAAGTACAAGTATCTCAAATGTGTACTTCAGTACACTACTTGAATAAATGCGTGTCATAGGTTTAGGTAGCGTTTGTATTTACTACTATTGTTAAAGAAAGCAAAATAACCAGTTTCATCATAATCAAATTAATTATATACACACACACACACACACACAACACCACACACACACACACACACACACGCAGACAGTAGGTGTGTGTGTAGGAATGTGCAGCAGTGAACATTCCTCAGATTCCTGCATCGGGATCATGGGATATAAAATATCCTCTCATGGGAACTGTTAGCTTAACACACACCACACACACACACACACACATATATATAATATATATATATATATATATACACACACAAACACAGCCATACTGGTACCAGACCAGTATGACACCCTAAGCATGATGGGATTTTGATGATTAATTTATTCTGTATGTACTGTAGTTTGTCTCTGTGACCACTAGAGGCAGCGCTGTGGTTTGGATTCAGTTCAAAGAGCATGAAAGCTGATTTTTAAAGATTAGATTTGGTGATTTCTCTGTGTGTGTGTAATCTCTTATATGTGTAGTAATCTAGAAAAAAAAATACTCCTAGATTACAGAGCATGTCTCACCAGATTAGTGCCCTAGTTTTTCCATCTGTCTCACACACACACACACACACACACACAGACACACAGACAGGTAAATACAGTCGGATTTAAGTTTAGAGCTTTTATCTTCCTTTTCAATCACTTAGTGTGTTTTGACAATTTCAATCTTTTAGATAATTCATTCAGATGTTACACTTTCTCTCTGAAACACATGACCTCAGTGTTGTTGTTGAGACACACACACACACAGTCTCTGATCATGCCAGGGTCAGATGACTGGTGTGAATGGAAGCACATTAGGGCTGCAGTGGCATGTGGTATGTGAACTCGCGCGTTCATTTCAGCCTCCCTCACCTGCGTTTCGCTGTACTTCCTGCGAGTCTGGAGAAAGGATGAGCATGTCGCGGTTCGTTTCAGAGGAGCTCGTGGGAGCGTTCACTCATGTCGTGGTCGCTGCTCCTTTTGGTACATGCTTTGGCCCAGATGATTTCTTCCACACACACACAACCGTCACAAGAGAAGCAGCTGCAATGCGGTTAAAAAAAAACATTTACTGAGCGTAACAGAGCGTAGGTCATTCAGGTCATTCATCATGAAACAAAAACGCCTCATTCATGAGTCTCATTGGCACAAAATCTGTCGAAACTGTTGA